GATCCTACGGTTCCTAACAGATGACCAAGATAACTCGTGAACATCCAACTGGGTGCGAAAAATTCATTTTCAAAAGGAGAGCCCCAAACAGAAATTTCGTGAGCATAGATAGGCATTACGGTGTCACCGTTCTTTCACCTTTAAAAACCACTTGCAAACCACACAAACCTAAAACCCTTGCCCCTCCATTTTTTAGCAAAGTTTGGCTTAAATGTGATTCATATTTGGCAAAATTGTCTTCGATGGGTTATCCAATAGAATTTTTTGTAGTAGTGTTAGCCGAAGTTCGATTAATAAGGGTCTTCCACAAAAATAATTGTTTATGTTTCTTCTATCATATTCAATTCCTGGTGTGGAAATCTTAGCCTCATAACCTATGTCCACTCGAAGTATTTTATTGTGACCTATGTATTGGATCCATATCTTATGGTGGCCTCGTCATTCCTTGGCTACAAGACATCTCTCGCGTGGCTTCCATGGTAAACGTGATGAGAAAAAAGCGACGGTTGAATCGGTGAAAACCGGAACTGATAGTCTCACCAGTCGACCGCCGGTCCAATTTTTTTAAAACTATTTTAGTCGCAAACAAAAAACTATTTTACCGGGTTGCCGAATCGGGACTATTAATAGGGTGGCTTGATTGCTCAGGTGCTCGAATCTTAAGTCATCAATGTCTAAATATTATATTTTTTGTCGGATGCATAACAAATGATCAAGATAACTTAACAGGGTGGCTTGATTGCTTAAGTGCTCAAATCTTCGGTCGTAAATGTCTAAATATTATATTTGTTGTCGGATGCGTAACAGATGATCAAGGTAGCTTAATAGGGTGGGTTGATTGCTTAAGTGCTCAAATCTTCAGCCGTAAATGCCTAAATATTATATATGTTGTCGGATGCGTAACAAGATGATCAAGATAACTATTTGGCTTGATTTCTTAAGTTCTCGAATCTTAAGTCGTAAATGCCTAAATATTATATTTATTGTCGGATGCGTAGCAGATGGTCAAAGATAACTATTTGACTCGGCTGCTTAAGTGCTCGAATCTTAAGTCGTAAATGCCTAAGTATTATATTTGTTGTCAGATGCGTAACAGATGATCGAGATAACTAAGACTTTGCTTAAATGCTGAAATCTTAAGTTGTAAATGTCTAAATATTATATTTGTTGTCCGATGCATATAACAGATAATCAACATAAGTCCGTGAACGTCCAGCTGGATGTGGAAAATCCATGCTTAAAAAGGGAACCCCAAACAGAAATACGGTGAGCATAGATAGCCACTACGGTGTCACCGTTCTTTCGCCTTTAAAAACCACTTGCAAACCACACACAAGCCGAAAACCCCTGCCCCTCCAATTTTAGCAAACTTTGGCTTAAATCTACCCTCCTGCGCCCCCTTCCTCCCCACTCCCTGCCACCTTCCCCAAACAAACAACCGTATCTTTCTACCTCCTCCGTCCTTCCCTGGCGCCGCCTATGGACGCGACATCACTGGAGGAGGAGCAGGTGGCGGCGGCGGCGGCGGCGGCAGACAATCTTGATGAGGAGGTGGAGCAGATGGAAGAGGGGGAGGAGGAGGCCACGCCGGTGGTGCTGAAGAAGGGGCCGTGGACGACGGCGGAAGACGCCCTGCTGGTGAACCACGTGCGGCAGCACGGCGAGGGCAACTGGAACGCCGTGCAGCGCATCACCGGGCTCCTGCGCTGCGGCAAGAGCTGCCGGCTGCGCTGGACCAACCACCTCCGCCCCAACCTCAAGAAGGGTGCCTTCTCGCCGGACGAGGAGCTCCTCGTCGCGCAGCTCCACGCCCAGCTCGGCAACAAGTGGGCCCGCATGGCCACCCATGTAAGCATCAGCATTTCTCCATCCCTGCTCCTTTAGATCTCCAGCAGTCCATTAATGGCAGATTTGTCGAATTTGACTCTTGATGCTTGTGCTCGTACGTCCATAGCTTCCGGGAAGGACCGACAACGAGATCAAGAACTACTGGAACACGAGGGCCAAGCGGAGGCAGCGCGCCGGTCTGCCCATGTACCCGCCGGAGGTGCAGCTCCAGCTCGCGATCACCAAGCGCTGCCGGTACGCCGACTTCTCGCCCCCGCAGCAATCAGCGGGAAGCAATGTCCTGGACGCCACCGATGCGGGGTACACCAGCGCCCGCCCGCCGCCGCTCGACCTTGCCGGGCAGCTCGCCATGGCCAACCGGCCGGTGCAGTTCCTCGCCCAGACGCCCTTCTCCGCGCCGTCTTCCCCGTGGGTGAAGCCGTCGTTCGCACGCAACGCGCGCTACTTCCAGTTTCCGCATTCATCGCCCGTGTCGCCGACGACGCCGGAGCTCTCGTTGGGCCACCGCCTGCCCGGCGGCAACCGGACCCGGTTCACTCCTCTCTCTCCGTCTCCGGGGGCCAAGGCGGAGCTCCCTTCATGCCAATTGCGCCCGGCGTCACCGGCCGCAGTCGCAGCCACGGACAACCACGGCGGCGGCCTGGGCGAGGATCAGCAGAACCTCGAGGCGATGCTGCAGGAGCTGCACGATGCCATCAAGATCGAGCCGCCGAGGCACGTGAGCGGCCACGCCGAGCAGGACGGCGCCAGTGGTGAGTGGTGCTGTCGCGCGTGAAGCATTTCTCACATTTTCCATTCCTCGGAAGCATCCGAACCTTTTTTAATTTGTTGCTTTGTTGGAGAAGAGAACAAAAAACATGGTCATGATTATGATGTGAAGCATAGATTAGCAGACGAAAACCTTTTTGTTCGGGCTTCCAAATTCTCCATTTGTTTCTCCTAAAAAAACACTATATTTGTTTTCTTGCCAAATTCTACTACCTACTTCTTGAAAAGCAAAACAAAACTTGCTAGATTATTCTAGAACTTTACACTTTAGTTTGTTTTCATTAGGAAAATTATTTATGTTAAGGTAAAAGGAGTTGGGCAAAATCTGAAATAACCTTTTTGTTTTGGTTGATAGTTTTAAGGTTAGTACACAAGTGCAGGCTGCAGGTACTACTTTTGATAGTACATAGGATATATATCTTTAGTTACTCCTTGCAAGACAGTGACTACTTTTAATCTTTGTTCGATGATTACGTTTGCTTTATATATTTTGCCAAGTACTTTATTACCTTTATTATTTCCCTTTCCCTTTTTCTTCTCCAATTGTACTGCTTTACTACATACCTAATCCAATCCGATGCAGATTCATGCTCCTGTTTTGCTGTTTTATCATTGCTGGTTAGCTCCCGTAGCAACACGTCATGTTAGTCTTTCTATATAACTAATTCCGAAATTAACATAACCAATCAATCAATGTAAACGTGATCATATCTTGCTAGCACTACTTTCAGGAGATTTACTAGACAGGCTCATGATCGATCTTGCTAGCTTTGGTAGTGCAGGACAGAATCAAATCGGCAGTACTAATTAATTTAAACACCTCAGCTTCCAACTAGCATGAAATATAGTACAATGCACTAGGAAAGAGATTACATTGTGTTTTCTTTTTGAGGAAATTGACTACATTGTGTTACTAGCTTGATAGATCATGGCTTGTTTTGCTAACTAGTTCAGCTCCATCCAGGTGGCAACAAATCGGAGGGTGGATTACTCAAAGATGACGATGACATCGGCACACTCTTCGACATGATTATACCCAAGGCCTTCTCTATGACGGAGCCCACAGCACAGGCCGATGCGCCCAACCACTCCGGCGGCTCGATCTCGCAGCATGGTGGTGAAGACCACAACGTCAACCTCACTGTGGATCATCTCCCGATCATCTCATCGGAGCAAGACTGGGTCCTCGACGGGGCCTGCCAGTGGAACAACATGTTCGGCATCTGCTAACAAAGATCGATCTACCTCACATCATGCTCAGGACTCGAGGCATTCTATATATGGTGATCTTGACAAGCAAAAACCATTATGAGGGGTCTGTTTTGATGCAACCTTTTTGGATGTCTTTAAGTACCTTTCTTTCTTTTGGTCGAAATGGAGGTTAAACCTTGTGCCTCTGCGGGCGAGACATACATCTTTCTTTATTAAAGTGTTTAAATAATCATCCAAAAAGTTAGATCCAAAGGCCCAGACACAACCGGGCGATCAAAAGTTGTTTATGCGAATCATGGAGCAAGATGTTCCATGTCATTTGACTTCCTTTCAGTTATGATGACCCGAAGTAAGCCATTCCATACAATTCAACCAAAATTCCACAAGGATCTCAAATACTTATCGAGTTTTTGTCCTTGAAAGAAAAGCAGCTAAGACTTTTTATGTCTAAACTGACTGTTATGAGTTCGAGTGTCTTCGAGTTGAAACATGTGTAGGGTTAAGAAATAAAGATTAGAAGAAACGCCTAACGTATCCAACTTTGTCGTGGACTCTATGCCATTTTTCTTCTTCGAAAAATGACGGTTCTATTAACTCGTAATGTAACATCAAAGAGATACAAGGCATAATAGCCTGCTGCCACACATACGTACGCACGCACACGAACGGACGAGGATCCCCTGACGTTGGCTAACCTGCCATTGAGACACTGACACATGGGTCCCACCAAGCGTGAGGCCCACTTGTCAGCGACCCAAAGGCAGGGTAAGGCAGGGTTAGCCACGTCAGAGGATCCGTGTCCCACACGAACCTGCAAGTCTCAGTCTCTGCTACGAATTAAGGCTGGTTTCGTTTAATTAATCGAACGTGCAAGAGCATCCATGAAAAGTTAACATCACACACACATAATTAGCATCAACTGCAGTTCAAAGAAGAATATGCGCTACAGTTTGTGCACACGAGTTTATTGAAACATAGTCTACTAAAAGTACCTTTTTTAAATGAAAAGGAAAACTTTTGGTGGCACAGATCCAGCTGGAAACATGATAGTCAGCACGCACATAATTAGAATCAATTATGTACTCCGCTCGTCCCATAGTATAACGTCGTTTTTTCACACTACAGTAGTTTCAAAAAAGAAAAGGAAGAAGAACGGGCAGTTTTTCAAAGTTAAAAATGGTTGTATACATTATTAAGAATGGACGGTTTGTGCACACGAGTTAATGGAAACTCTTGGGTGGTACTATTCCTGGTGAAAATATGCTTAGTCCTTAACTCTTTATTATCCCTCTAATTTTTCAGGTGTGGCTGAATCAATGTCCTACAAGTGTGAGATTCAAGCCGGGTTTGGACGTTTGGTACGTAGTTCATCGTAAATCGTAAAAAAAGAAAAAAGAAGGAAAAATAATGCAGGGTTTGGTGGTCACAAATCTGTCGTGAAACTTCCGCATACCGTGCGGGCGTGCATGGATGGTGGCTTGGCTTGCCGCCTCCGGTCTCCTCCCGTGATGCAGTGCGGCGGTGATCGAGAGGAACAAGGAGCAGTTGGAACGCATGAGCGGCCACCCTCCGTCTCCATGCTAAATACGTGTTGTCCATTCTTTGCTGCTTGCTTCATGCCATAAGTTGCGCCCCATGAGGATGTTCCTCTTGTTGTGACTCCTTGCCCCTCTCCTCTGTTTCGGTGGATTCTTTACAGGAAGCTTCTAATGTAGGATGCAGGCGTATGCGTCCGCCGCAGCATCCGTTTATATAGTACTTCGTGTGTCTCATAATATAAGAATGTTTTTAACACTACCCCGCAAAAAAAAAGAGTGTTTTTAACACTAATAAGCTAATTATTGCTGCCTTAATAACCGTGATATAAAAGGACCGTGTTATCCAGAGAAGTCAGCAGACGTTCCATTTATCGCCTCTCCCAGCGAACGTTTGCTGGTTAGCATTTTTTATTAAATTAAACAACGGAGCATGAACGCCGTCGGCCTGCATGATTATTCTAATGGTTGCTTCAGTTCAGGGTTTGGCCCAGAAACAGAACGTATCGAATGCAGAGGCCACCATAAAATACTTTGAATGAACGTTAAGTTATGAGGCAAACAATTTCCACATCGGGAAGTGAATATATAACAGAAGAAATATAAGTAAACATTTTGGTTGGAGGCCCTTATTTGATCGGACTTCGGTTGACATCCACTGCTAAAAAAAAATAAGACTAACCCAAAAGCTAACCTTTGTTGGCTTTTCTTTATAGGAGAAACTTCGTGAGCACCACGCGTCTATACTGGAACTCAAACTCCGTGAGCACCACACGTCCATGCCGGGACTCGAACTTGGGTGGGTTGGCAGCAACCTCAGCTGCCCAGTCAACGGGTCGACGCCCCATCCTCACATCCATCCACTGCTAAGAAAGCGCCTATCCAGGACAACCCATCAAAGACGATTTTGCCACAATATGCATCACATGAAGTAAAATAATGACAGAAATAATAGTTAGGTAATTGCTCGCGGTTTTGCCAAAGAAAGTCTGATGTGATGTTTCACAGCAATAAAGTGGTCGACACATAATCCCAGCTCCAGCCTTATTTAGATGCTGATCAAGGTAGTTCTTCGGATCTGATCCCTAATGCCCCACCCAGGTTGCCTCCTCTGTTAACACAGAGGGAAATATTATGTCATCGTTACTGGATAAGAAACCTAGAGGGGGCGGCAAAAACAATTTTCTTTTCTTACCGGCAACAATTGTACATATTAAAAAGAAACAAAAATGACGTTCACTTCCAACCAAGCTCATTATTTAGTTAGACAGAGGGCAAATCCAAAAAACGACTTCCAAAGACGCTCAAGTAGCTTTCCATGAAGCCATACAAAACTTGGAAGCAATGGATGCTTCACATCGGCAATCATGGAACGGCCGGCCGCTAACCAACTCAGTGTATTTCCCTCCTAGCTACCATACGTCCCCCTGACCAGCAAAGGGAAACAAATTCCCGAAGCACCACAGTCCACAGCCAGCGCTGCGGCGAATTAGACCTTCAGAAAGAATCTTCTTCTAGTGTAAGAAAGGGAGGGTTTTAATCTTCGTATTCCATATCGTAGTCATCGTCTAGCTCGGAACCATCGACCCCACCCATGATGGACAGGAAGGCGAGAACCGAGATGAGTTGCGCCGCGAGGAAGTACTTTGTTCTTCGCCTAGCTTTCTTCTCCTCCTCTGTCCGCTCCTTCTTAGCTTTGGGTTTCGGCTTGTAACCTAGAAACAATCAGGTTCATAAGAACTCAAAGACGGTAAATGCTTCAAAAGTGCAGAATGTAAGAGAGATATAGAGGTGCAACGGCAAAGAATATTGTTTTGGTTGGATTTGTCTCCATATTACCATCTCATTTATCTCCGTTTCAAGTGAACATTGTTAGGCCAAAGTCTCCAACACAAAGTATACCTAAAAGTATTCATTGTACATGACGTGCCACAAATTGCATTTATGCAATCACTGGTGGAGCTCTTGCAGTATGTGAGGGCTGAGCAATGTATAACTATAAAATACTCATTTTCAACTTGTATCCCAAATGAGTATACATGCAAGTGCCTGTTAACACTATCTCCATTGGAACACATCAATGGAAGCTTATCAAATGAAGTACTCCCTCCGTCCCAAAATAAGTGACTCAACTTTGTACTAAAGCTAGTACAAAGTTGAGTCACTTATTTTGGGACGGAGGGAGTATTTTTAACTAGCAATCGCTGTTAACACAATCTCAGAACATGAAACTAACAAAAAAGATATTTATATCCATGAACAGATAAATAACTAGGAGCACATGTTCCCAATATTAACCAATCAACAAATATGAGAACTAGTAGAGATGCACTTTATGGTCTGAAGTACTATAACAGAGAAATGCATTAACTTACTTTGTCCAGAAGATGATGTTTTCCTGGGCGTGGATGATGATGGCATATCAGATGAAGCTGATCCTGCTGATGATGAGCCAACTTCCACCAATTGGACCTTGATATCCTCGGCATACTTTACCAAGTTGTCATAGTTCTGCAAATAGCTTCGCAGCATAGATGTAGCCTAAGAAGCAGAACATGCCAGGAAGTCAGTCAAAACACAACTCATGGGTTGGAGAATGTGTTTTACAGCTAGTTAATGCAAAAAAAAAAAGCATACAAAGAACTATTAACATATGATGCATTTGAGAAGTGCACTCCATGACTCATGCTTCCAGGGTTACGTGCAGATTATTATTGAATATCAATGTGCATTCATGTTTTAGATTCTGTAACTGAATGTTCATGTATACTGAACTTCATTTGGATAGAAGCAAAGCTGAGCATTCAAGGCTGAGGGCAACTCACAGGTAATGCATTAAGGACAAAAAGAACATGTCCAAACAAAAGAGCATCAGCATCTGTAGGGCTGCAGAATTCGAAGTATAGAATGGTTAGTGTCCTGCAAATGTTACATCAATTTAAGATAAACATATGAAGAGCCACAAATAATCAAAATGCTCAATCGACTAGTGGTTCGGGACATCTTTCAACGAGGCAGCCTGGATTTCGACTTCCATAAATCAGAGACCATGCCACAAAAAAAGGATGGTCCGCTATGCATTTCATTCTTTCTGGACCCTCCCCCCCCCCTCTCTCATGGTGAGCATCTCCCTGTGATCGGGATGAGGTAGATGCCTCCCAGCTGGGGGGTGGACCGGATCGTATGAAAGTTTTTCAATTTATTGTGATTCTTTCTCAGCTACTATTCAAATTTGGATAGCTTTACTACTTCAATGTAATCCATTTCTTTTCACAAAAGAAAATAAAAGATTATTTCGATTCCTATATAACTCTTATGTATCAGAATATGAACCCCTAATACAATTCAATACATCGCATATAAACCAAAACATAAGAAAAACAATAATATACCTATCGTCGAAAAGAAAGGATTGATCCCCTAATTTCGTAGATAAAGCATCATAAGCAGCAGTAGCCTTCCGGTATATCTGTTCAAAACAAGAAATTACAAGTATGCCATAAGCTACTAGTGCGTGACCAAAAATAAGGAACGTAAAAGTCATGAGTACAGAAGTAGTAACCTCCTCTTCTTTTTCTGCAGCATTAAGCTTTGTTATATCCATTAGTCGCTTCACATCTCTAATTTTCTTCCAGTGGAGTACCTTTCCAATAGGCCAGGGGAGATCAGAAAAGTAGATGTCTCGTGCAATGCTCCCATGAGCCCCATCATTTGCCAACCAAAGTTCGTATTGCAGAGCATCAGCAAGCCAGGTCGAAATCATGGCCTTTGTGGATAGTACATCAGAGTAAGAAACGCTTGGGTGTTTTGAGGTCAAGTCAACAATTTTCTCCTCCCTGAGATACTCAATTACTCCTCCATTCTCATTGTTGAATGCGACACACTCGCCAAATTCAATATATGGTATGTGATCTGTGGAATAAAGACCAAGATGTAAGGGCAGAAGAGCAGTATATATGCTTAGCAAATTTTAGGAAAACAAGTCTCTAGTTTATAGTACTGTATTAGAAAGAGCATAGTGGTAGGACATTTCTTCTTTCTTTTGTCCATATTCTATCCCTTTGTTGTACTGCTGATGACAGACCCTGGCCCATGGTAAGTTTCTTCCCCCCTCACTAGCTGCTATAGTAGAACTCCCCTGTTTACTGCACCAAAATATATCCTAGCTCTCTCCCTGATCATTCAATCTTTCTGCTGACTCTCTTTCAATTCCATCCATCCCCACAGTATGGGAAGGATATATTCTAGCCTCCCCTCTATCAAGTTAGCCACCTATGTACATCTTGCCTAGTGCATGATTGCACAGGGACTGTCCCTGGTGGGTGTGGATCTCATTGACCCTGCCCAGCTATGGCTTTGGTGCCAACATTGCTGGAAAGGACATGGAAAGAAAGGGGGAAGCTGTGAGGCAAGACAAATGGAGCTAACGGTGACCATCCAACCCTGTATGCTGCTGATTCGCTTCCAATCTGTCATTATTCAATCACCATTGGCACCACACTGCCACCCACCCATCGACGTGGTGCCACGCTTTGTCCTCACCTCTAACCTAGTTTCTAGGATGTACTCATGAATTAGGGCGAATATTGTCTTGCTATGTTCCAGATAGATGTATGATGATGTATTTCGTCTTCTTTTTTATCGGTAGCAAATAAATAACATTGCAATTACGAGTCATTTGCATGAATAACCTTAGCTGCGCCATTCATCCAAGCATATACCCTATACAGTACCGATGTCAACAATAACAGGCTCAGTAGATCTTTCAGAGGAGTCAAATGCATCCCATATGAAACGAAAAAATGCCCCTCAAATGCATGAATTTTGGAAAGATGTAGTTACACAAATAAAAAAGGTTACACAAACACATAACTGGAGCAATCTAACATTCGGTACAGCTAATAAGTTTCGGCTTGAAGCTACAAAACTAGAGTCCGAAGCCAGGCTAGGTAGCAGTCTATGAAACTGCACTGCTTAGCACATTCAGTTATCCGCCAACTACATTATTGCCTGAGTAAGTTCCTTGGTAGGATTACATACTAGTTCATCAGAAACAGACATATCTATGCAACTATTGCTTGATTTGGTTCGGACTTTTGCTTACTCATTGTGTTTAGAAACCCGCTTCTACTTACTTTCATGTGTACGGCTTCACACTTGTCTAATCAAACTGGATAAGTCCTTTAATGAGCACTAAAACTTGGATCCGGACCTAGTACCAGACATGCAGAGGCGAGCAGGCATCCCACGGATCAGCGTGCCTGATCTCTGCAGACCTGAGGACCTACACGGGATACATCAGCTCAATCGCAAAGGATTCGAAGCACATATGCCTCGCCAAGCAAAGCAAAATCCTCTCACGCGACCCAGACACAGAACCTAGCACAGTCAACAATTCAGACTCAATCCTAAGCGACGACACCCAGGCGGGGGGATGCTTGGATCAGAGGGATCTTAGCTCACACAGCCCACGCGAGGAAACAGGGGCGCGGGGGAGGCGGGGGCGGGGGCTCACCGGCGTCGGGGAAGCGGGAGTCGACGTGGATGTCGAAGGGGACCTGGGACATGCGGAGGTAGAGGAGGACGGGGAGGCAGGTCGGGCAGGCGGTGGGGAGCCCGAAGCCGGGCTTCCGCGCCACCAGCGTCTTCCGCGCCGCGGCCTCCCACTCCGCCGCCGCCGTCGTCGCCGATGCCATCGCCGGGAGGGTGGGGAGCTTGCGGAAGGGGTTTGGTTCGGGTTTCGGGGAAACAGCGAGGGGGGCTTGGGGAAACAGGAAAAAAAGTTTTATGCGGCGCCTCTCGTCGTCTCCTACTGCCGGCCTGCTCTCTACTTATTTCGCCGCTCCGTTAGATTTTGGGCTCATGGGCTCAGCCAGGCCCAAACGGCGTGACGCCGACCGAGTCGGCGGCCGTGAAGGACTTTCCCACCGTGTTCTCGAAGAAAAGAGTTTCCGACTGTAAAGTCTGACAGACAGAAACTTTCTTTTACCACTCAAAAAAAAAGACAGAAACTTTCTGGACTTCATATTTTGTTCTTTTCTTTTTCCCTTTTTTTGCGGGGACATATTGTGTTATTTTCTGGCATACAGATCATCAAAAGTTCCAGAGCTTGCATGCTAGCCTATCCAAGAGGTTGATTAAACGGGGTGATAGTGTGTCGCAAGGAGGGAAAGAACCATTGATTAAATCGGTGGCTCACGCCATACCAACGTATGTTATAGGCGTTTTTAAACTGCCGGCTGGAGTGTGTGAGGATCTCACTTGACTTATCCGCAACTTCTTGTGGGGATCGAAAAAAGGCAAGAGACGTACACATTGGATTTCTTGGGATTCCATGATGAGACCGAAAAGTTGCAGTGGCATGGGGTTCCGTGATATGCGTCTGTTTAACCAACCGATGCTTGCTCGACAGGCATGGCGACTAATCCAATACCCCAACAGTTTGTGTGCGCAGGTCCTGCGTGCCAAATACTACCCATCCGGCTCACTCATTGATACAGTCTTCTCTGCGAATGGTTCACCCACATGGACGGCCATTGTCCATGGTCTTGAGCTCCTCAAAAAGGGTGTGATCTGGAGGATCGGTAATGAGACTTCAGTGCCCATATGGAGAGGCCCCTGGCTGCCAAGGCCGGATTCTTACAGACCGGTAACTCCCCGTGGAAGATGCCGCCTCAAATGGGTCTCGGACCTACTAAATTAATGCTGATGGAAGTTGGAATACAAATTTGGTGAAACAACACTTTTGGCCGGCTGATGTACAAGTCATACTCAACATCAAAACTTCACGCAGAAATGATGAGGATTTTATTGCCTGGCAGCCGGACAAGCGTGGTATGTTCTCGGTGCGTACTGCTTATCATCTAGGCCTTGTTATGGGAAATCAGCAAGATAATACAGCCTCGAGCTCTCACCCAGATGGTCAGAGAACTGACTGGAAACTGATCTGGAACAGCTTAGCACCTCCAAAGGTTAAGGTGTTTGCTTGGAAATTGGCAAGAGAAGCACTTGCAACGTATGCCTCTAAACATCATCGCCACATGGAGATTCTTGACATATGTCCTCTCTGTGGTATGGAGCGGGAGGACTCGTTGCATGCTCTGTATCGCTGTCGACACGCACGGAGTTTATGGGAGATGATGAGAGAGTACTGGGAGTTGCCGACTGATGATATGAATGTGTGACTCTCAACCTGAATGGATCCTCAAGTTACTCCATCGGTTGTTTGAATATCAACGCCTCATGCTTTTGATGCTTCTCTGGAGGGTTTGGTATGTCCGAAACGAGATAACACATGATAAACCCATGCCGGCTACTACTGGGTCCTGTAACTTTTTGAGAAGTTATGTGGACTCACTTATGTTGATCCACCCCAATATCCGCATGCCGACCTCACGAAAGGTAAACAGGTGATTAGTCTTCAGCACCCTACTGTGAGACGTTGTAAACCTGCGAGCCTGCATTGGGAAGCACCTCCTGTTGGGTGGGCTAGCCTTGATGTGGATGGTTCATATGTTGGGGCCAATGGTGAAGCTGGAGCTGGCATGATTCTCCGTGATCACATGGGACAGATCATCTTTTCGGCATGCCATTGGCTTTACAGCTGCTGTAGTGCACTTGAGGCTGAATTGGTTGCTTGTGATGAGGGCCTTTGGCTGGCTATGGCCTGGTCTCAATTACCAATTGTGCTTAACACAGATTGTGCTGAAGTTGTGAGTTTGATAAGCACAACCAACTCGAATCGCTCGCCCTTCATTAATGTTTGTAAGGAAATTGATGCCTTAATTCAAGGAGACAGAGAAGTACTAATCAAGAAGGTGGTTCGTTCACAAGTTCGGGCTAGCCATGAACTTGCTGCTCTTGGTCGCTCCCAGCAACGCACCGCGTGTTGGCTGGGATCTTGTCCTGATAGCATCTCCAATATTGTAATGGCAGACTATACCCCTAATTAGTCGTACAATATAATTTTCTTTCCGCAAAAAAAAACTTGTCTGGCCGATTAATTGGCCAGTTGGACCGACTAATCAGTTGTCATGCCGATTAATCCCTACTGGCCCATTAATGGGTGGCGAAAAAAGCCCAATTTTTTGGCCCGTAACCCTTTCCAGCACCATCCTGTTTCTTAATAGCTAGGATTAATAATTTTACCTCTTCTCTATGCTTTTCATATGTGTATAGCAGCATGTTTTGGTATACTACATAGCTGGGAGAATGAGAGTATGATATAATACATAAAATATCTACATATATGTTGGCAAGTTTCTATTCAATCTACTGATTAATGGTCGACTGATTAATCCAGTTAATGGATCGATTCATCGATTATTCGCTACTCCTAAACCGACCGAGTAGCTACCAGTTAACGATTTCTTGGACATTGCTTTTAACTGAATATTCATTTTCTTCTTTCTTTGTCTGTGCACTTCCACTTCGTACCCTTCCCTCAAAACTTCTCAACAACAACAAAACAAACTTCCCTCGAAAACCATTCTTTTTTGCCTCTTTTGTTGCCTCTGTCAAAGCTGGAATTGTTGGAATAGTTGAATAGAGATAGGACTCTACTTTCCTCATGTTTAAACTTGTAGTCTTTCTCTATCCCTTCTTCTGTCCAACTCTTCTCGTTCTATACTGACCTTCTGTAAACGATCTCTTCGATCGATCATCTTGTAAGCCATGACATTATCGATATAAATACAAGTGCGGCCCGAGCAAAGGGTTCTACGCTTTCCAAACAAGTAACCAGAGCATCTTCTTCCTATCGATCGAAAGAGGATCGCATCTAGACTAGCCCTACCACAAACTTTCGCCATGACTATCGCCTCCACCCAAAACAGCACCAGGAGTGCCCTCTCCACGTCCCTGTCCTCATCATCCACCTTCGCACCTTCCTCCTCCTCAAATTCATCCTTCGCCATATCCATTGGACCACCACCTCAGGAGAAGCTTACGAGGAACAACTACCTCATGTGGAAGGCCATCGTGCTGCCCCAAATCAAGGGCGCACAGATGGGCCACCACCTCGATCCGGAGAGCCAAGCGCCGTCGGAGACTCTCACCATCACCAAGGATGGAAAAGAGGAGCATATCGCCAATTTCGCTCGTGTTCTCTCGTATGCACAGCAACAATAAGTCTAGGGTTTTCTGATGGGTTCTCTGTCTCGTGAGATACTTGCATAGGTTGTTACCCTTCAGACACCGACGGAGGTATGGGTGGCGATCCATGCCATGTTCACTTCCCAATCCGAAGCTCAAGCCATCAATACCCGGATAGAGCTCACAAACCTGAAGAAGGGGAGTATGTCTATGACTGAATACCTAGCCAAGATCAAGACTCTCTCTGATGAGATCGCCTGCACTAGAGCTGCGCTGACAAGGGGTGAGATCGTCTCTCAAGTTCTGGCCGGACTCAACCTTGACTAAATTCCAGTGGTGTCTGCCCTTGCTGCACGGGTGGAGCCCGTCTCCGTCGAGGAGATGTATACGCAGCTGCTAAGCTTCGACTCATGCCTCAACCTTCTTCATGGGATGAACATCCCGCAGTCTTCAGCAAACTCTGTGTCACGTGGCCATGAAGGTGGCCGCGGGCGCGATCACCAGCAGTGGAATCGGAGCAGCAGCAACAACAATGGGCATGGACGCGATAGCAGCCAAGGCGCGACACCAAGCGAGGTGGCTACACCAACACTAACACCTCTGCAACATCTAGAGGGGGCGGCTACAACAACAATAATTCCTCCTTTGGATCATCTTCCTCCAACAGCCGTGTTCGGTGCCAACTATGAAAAAACCCAGGCCATGAGGTCATGGATTGTTGGCACCGTTTTGACGAGGGATATGTTCCCGATGCTCGCCATGTCGCTGCTGCAATAAGGGAGCAAGGAGTTGATGGCGTGCTACCTCTTGAGCACTGCGTTGGATTTCCCCGAAGAGGAGAGGATGATGCAGCAAAGTAGCGTAAGTATTTCCCTCAGTTTTTGAGAACCAAGGTATCAATCCAGTAGGAGGCTACGCGCGAGTCCCTTGTACCTACACAAAAACAATAGCTCAACGCAACCAACGCGCTTAGGGGTTGTCAATCCCTTCACGGTCACTTACGAAAGTGAGATCTGATAGAGATGATAAATAATATTTTTGGTATTTTTGATATAGAGATGCAAAGTGAAAAGTAAAAGGCAAAGTAAAAAAGCAAAGCAATAATAAAGTGATGAAGATTGATATGATGAGAAAGAGACGCGGGGGCCATAGGTTTCACTAGTGGCTTCTCTCAAGAGCATAAGTATTCTATGGTGGGTGAACAAATTACTGTTGAGCAATTGACAGAATTGAGCATAGTTATGAGAATATCTAGGTATTATCATGTATATAGGCATCACGTCCGAGATAAGTAGACCGACTCCTGCCTGCATCTACTACTATTACTCCACTCATCGACCGCTATCCAGCATGCATCTAGAGTATTAAGTTAAAAATAGAGTAACGCCTTAAGCAAGATGACATGATGTAGAGGGATAGTTTCATGCAATATGATAAAAACCCCATCTCGTTATCCTCGATGGCAACAATACAATACGTGCCTTGCTGCCCCTTCTGTCACTGGGAAAGGACACCGCAAGATCGAACCCAAAGCTAAGCACTTCTCCCATGGCAAGAAAAACCAATCTAGTAGGCCAAACCAAACTAATAAGTCGAAGAGACT